AGTAAATCTTTTGAGTTCACACGAAAAGGTACTACTATAGTACAACTATTTATTCATTATAACGCAGATCTTGAGTTTATTTTATCATACGATACTAAGTATTAATTCATCGTATAACGTTCGTATTTCCTTAGAAGATTTGACACCTTCCTGCGGGATTTGAACTTTGGCATAGTTGCATCGCTTGATACAAGGATACCAGACGTATTATTTTTTAGGCCACGAAAACTCCAAAACGCTGAACATAGGACAATAAAAGCGAACAGACGAGCTGATTTCCAGGTTTCAATAAATTAAAGTATTTCTTGCGTTGTTTGTTTTAAAAGATATAATATAAAAAAACCTTTATGGTATTTTTTCCAATTACCTTTAAAAGTATTTCCGGTGGCAGGACTGTAGTATTTTCTGAAGTTTTGGGAGGCTAACGGCAAAGGCAAGATCTTCGACCGAACGGGTGAAATTGCTCGGTACATCGACGATCGATATGTTCGGGTACTGGTCATCGCGTCCCCTTGCGAGGGCGTGGGACGGGCCGCGGGGAAACCCGGGCTTGTGACTCCCTGTCTATCGAGACAGGGGTGATGAGCTGCGGGTTGATAACTAGCAGGCTTGAGTTGAGATTGTGATGGGTGGGACTGTCTCTTCATTCCTCTTCATCTTTTCCTTCTTCATTATTCTTTTCTTCTTTTTTCCTTCTTCAATGTTCAGGTTATTCAGTACTTGCAGTATGCAAGCTTATAGGTATTAACCGGGTATTCGGTTAATACCTATTGATTGGAAGCCGTTCCCTTAGGAGACCTGTCATGATGGACTATAATTTGTACTTTAAGGACATTGTAACTCTATTATCGACGGTTGACTGACAGATAAGCAAACGTAAACTCTAAGAGTCAGTTGTTGATTAAAATTGTATAGAAATCCCACAATTCGAATTTTTACCATATAACATAGGATTTTAATCGTAATCTTTGAATTACCTTTGCTACTGTTCATTATAGAAGGATAATATTTTCGGAACATGGAACTACGGGATATCTAACCTTCGAAGCTCATAAGTCCATAATGTCACTCGGTACTAGTGGATACTGCCGTCTTATCTATGTTCAATAGACCAAACTGAAAGTTACAAAAAAAAGGTGCGCGTGCAGCTTGGTGAACATGAAAGAAGTGAAACTTCTTTTGCAGTGTGTAGTATTGTGGTTTTCTTCATTTTTCATCCTTAAATCAAATTTCTCTTGTAATAGGGAATACTGTGTATCAGAGAAATGGCCTAGCTCGCTGTATCTTTTCTCTCTAGCCGTAACGAATTTGTGGCGAGTTAAATTTTAGTATTTTTTATTTTTATTGCCCACCCACGGGACGGGCATACAGCCCACCTGACGGTGAGTGGTTACCGTCGCCAATGGACTTCAGCAATGTCTGGGGCAGAGCCAAGCCGTTGCCTACCGTTAGGCACTCTCCACAAGTCTCGTTTGAAGAAGGATAGTCTCAACGCACCTCGCACCTAAAGAAGTTTCACTTCAAAAACTGCGCTGTAAACACTTTTGCTCATCTATAGCCTCGTGTACTGTTGAAATACCCCCGTCCGTAACAAGCTGGAATATCTCCTTAGGATACGAGCGAATATCAATTAATAAATCGATTCTTAAGGAGTAAACATCAAGAAGATGTAACTGATAACTAATTGTATCCCATCTTGACATATAGGGCCGAAATCTCGAAGGGGGTTTTTTTTGCCCTTGTAGGCAGACGAATATGGTGAGTGGCCACCATCACTCATGGACATCAGCAATGTCAAATTGCTGCCTATCGTAAAGTATCCCACCCTTTAAACCAAAGTGCACTTTAGTAAATTTTAGTTACCATAATATGTCCTTTTGTGTAAAATTTAAATATTATTGTTCTTTTTCGAGTTCCATTTTTTTAATAGGTATGATATCTATGGAGAGTGATGTAAATAAAACAAAAATATGGAAACAAATAGTTTTAATTGTTATATAACACCACATAAAAATATTATAATTTATTCAAAATTGATTCAGTAATAAAAAATTTCATCTAATAAATTTTATTAGCTCAAAGAAAAAATATTCTGCAATGATGGACCTGTAAATAATTTAAATTATAGTTTAGTATTTAGTAAATATTTAAGGTATCATTACGTTTTAAATTTAAAATTTTGTTAGTTACATATATTGAAGAAATCCAGAGAACTGATTAAATATACAAGCTCGCACGAAAAAAAAACCTTTCTCTTTCTTTATATGTTCCTAAAATACTTTATAATAAGTAAAGTAACATTACTCATATGCTATTTTAAGCATATATATGTTATGTACAATACAAACATACGCTATAAATGTTAATAAAGCCAAAACACGAACTACTGCGCAAGAAGGTCACCTTAATTTCCATTAAAGACACCACAAAACAATGGATCCCTTTCGAGTAACACACAATAAACATAGCTTCTGTCGGCTATGAAGTAATATTCGTTCTCCGGAGTAATTGCGGATGTCGCTCTAGCACCGACAACAGCTGGAAATTTAGAAATAAATACCGAAAAATGGATTAATTCGCTACGTCAACTTTCCAAAGATCTTGAGAATGTTTCAATTAAAACTCTTTTACCTAATTTCCGAACGTGTGCATATTATGAGTAATTTAAAAGTATTTAAAAAGAATAGTTTGCGTATCACACGATGCGCAATCGAAATAGTGATGAGCTGCAACAATTTTTCATACGATTCCCGATCCATAAATTTGATAAAATTTTGACCTCATCTTGAAAGGCTAAAGGATACTATAACGTATATGGCAATTAATAAAAACTAACAAATTTCATAAAATAGTTGATTTGAGAAAAATATAGGGTAAATTTCGATATTCTCAACATCCTGTCTATTGTATAAATCTATTATACATCCTATTACACGAAAGAAGAAAATTTTTTTGCGAAGTCCATTTTATTCTATAGAAATATTATATTAATAGAAGAGTACAATGGAAATAAAAAAGTATTAAGCCATTTTTTGCGAAATCTAGAAAGAGCAAGAATTAAAGAAGCGAACAATGAAGAGGGTACAAAATTTCCTAAAAATCACCTTAAACAGCGAATATTCCACCGAATATTATGTCTGTTCCAATTTTAATAACAAACACAAAGGGATGGTCTGCGTTGAAGACTAATGGTTCTACTTCAGATATCGGTAGACTTAACGTGGTACCGACTACTGCTGTAAGTACATAAGTATTTTAAGATCCATTATTATTATTACTGTCGTATATTTAAGTATGAGAATTCACTGCCTTTTTGATGTTAGCTTTCATATTCAAACGCATAGCATACCAGCGCATACGACAATATTAGATCAAGGTCTTATTTCTAATGTAATAGTTACTATCTCATCTATAAAAATAGAACGAGAGGAGAAGAGCGGAATATAGAGGTAGGCCAGTGTACCTGGTCGGCCTCAGCAAATGATTATACAAAAGCAGTTATTATGTAATTTTTTTAAATATGTACAGAAATTTTGTTTTTGACTTTTATTTATGCATTTGGTCTTTATTTAATGATTTTAACATTAGTTTTGCCAATTATATCAACATGCTTTATAAAAATGATAGGTATTTTAATAATAATATATATTAAAAAAATAATCATCTGGGCAGATCTTTGTTAGCAAATGGACATACAATTACAAAACCACGAAAATATTGATAAATCATACATTATAATGCCTTTTTTTTTTAATTCATTCTTATGAATAATCAAAACCCACTTAGGAGCCACACGGTGCGTTTTAAAAAAAACTCCTTAGGTAGATGGACTAAAATTATAACTAAAATTAATATCGCAATTTGATTAGTTACACCCTTCGATTTCACAATTTGCTTTCACCTTAGGAACCTATGAACAATCCACTGAAAATTGGTTCATCGTTGATTAAAACGAAGAATACGTAAGGATGGTCTGCGATAAATAATTTGGGCAAAACTTCTTGGCTGGGCTGTCCAGAAGCTAATGTGACGATGACAGCTGAAAGTAATTCAATCGACTAGTGGTAAAAACTTAGCCCCACGATCTTTTCTAGTGCATTTCAAGCGGACCGCCAATGCGCTTATGGGAAAAGTGTTAAAAGTTAACCACAAAAAAACTAGAAATAAAATAGAACTTAGGAACTGCGAACTAAAAGCATGCAGATACCGAAAGATACAAGCGCAATAAACGAGAGAAGCCCGTGTTATCTCATGCTCTCTCTCTCAACACTAGTCCGCAGCATCTGTTCACGACTTAACCTAACCTAATCATCTTAAGGAGGAGGGAGCCTGCATATCAGTAATACAGGTCTTTGAACCTAGTACAGACTTCAGCTCTTTCAAAGACTTACAAAATAAATTATAAGGTTAATTTCCATTTGTATTTGTACTATACCTTTAAGAGAGAAATAAATAAATTATAATAATTATTATTAATATTATTATTGTTATTTCCTTAATTTTATGTGTTTCGCCTTAAATTCCCTGAAAAACTCCACTGAAAGTTGGTGTTTCGTAAAGTAGAACGGAAAATGCGAAAGGACGATCCGCTATGAATAGTTTGGGCAAAGATTCCTCGACAATCGAATCCGAGGTTACGGTAACAGCTGGAAATAACATTTGCGGTTTGATTCGAACAGAAACAGGATATTAATGAACGGATTTTAATGAAATATTACTTAGGGCTTTAGTTCAATACAGTTAGTGGGCCACTAGAAGTGGCTTGTGAATTTGCGAAACTTAACTTTACGCTATTAAACAATTTTGTAAATCTGAATTCAAAATATCTTGTTGAACAAATACAGGATCAAATGCATTTCTAAACGAGTACAGAAGTATAACTAATTTAAGTCTACTAGATAATTTATATAACTTTTTAGACAATCATAAAAAAATTGTGCGATTCAAATATTTATTTTATAAAAACATTTTTAATTCGAAACAGTATAATTCTCTTATTATGATTATTATTACAAAAACTTCACAATTACAAACATTTAACTTTACATTAATAATATTTGTTCAACTTATCCGACAAAAACCCCACTAAATATAATGTCATCTTGAACTTTGATTGCGTATACAAACGGATGATCTGCTTCAAAAGAATACATATCTGTTCTACTTCTTTTAGTGAGTACGACGGCTGTAAATTTATATTTCATTACACGACTACATTTCGTTGACATTTTAAGTACATTTCAATTTCCGATGTTACGATAAATCTCAACAGTGTGACGACTGTCGTCCGTGATTACGATAAAATGCTCTTCTAATTATTATAAATTATTTTTAAAACTCAAGGGAACTCTTAAAATATACTATGATGCAAAGCATATTGTAAGTTCGCACAAGTTGGTACCACCATTTTGTCTGTTATGGCGAAATATTCTTGTTATCAAACTTCGAATGGTTTGAATCCTTTAGACATGAGTTTGAATTCTTTATTGAAAGTTTAATAATTACTTATTTTAAAACAAGAATAAATGACACCACGCAAGAATAAGCAGGTCGTGGATACTTAGGTGGGCAAGCTCATAGTATGCGCCACCGTCATACAATATAATAAATTAAATAGCTTAATGTTTACGCAACTACGCCAGTTATAAAACAAAGAAATAACCAGTAAATTATTATTAATGTAAATAGTGACAAACTTACTGTGTTATTTATTACTTACTACTTAGTGCTTAATTTACTATAATATCTATAAACTATATAATACTATCTCTGAGTATTATAATACTCAGATACTTGAATACTATGAATATCACGATTGAATAACAACAAAGGAACTTGACTCAAACCATGGTAAATATTGTAGTTTACAGTATTTAATGTTAGGTCTTTACCTGCGCCCCGTATTTAAAATACTGGGAAACTAAAAACTGAAATACTACAAAATGCCTCTGATCAGTTTATAAGCTCCGGTATACCGGACTTTTTCAGGAGGGCCAATAAAAAAATGACAGTGCGCTAGAAGATATATCAATATCATGGGTGCATATTTTAATTATTAGAAAAAAATAAAGTAACTTTCTGTATACTATACGGCAATTTCATAGGTAAAGATCTGAAATTTGATTTTTGGCTTTGAAATTGCCGTCGTGGTTAAGCTTACAATTGACTTTGAATTTTTCATATTTCAGAATTCTTTAAAAAAAAAAACTCCAAAATGGGAAAGTGTTACATTTTTTAGCTTTGTCAATTTTGAAAGTATCATAATTTTAGATATAGATTAGATTTAGATTTTATTATTTTGTTTGCCGATTAAAAACATAAAAATAATCTTACCAGTTGCGACCGCTGCCTCGGTTCCCGTTTCATCAACTATGATTTTAGCTTTCTGTATTGCAGCAGAAACATATACGGGGTCCGAATTTAATAAAATTCCTTCGAAATCATCTGATCGTGGATCGAACATTTTGGTTACATTCAGCTATAATGACAAGTAGCGATTAGTATCGGTGATGAAAATTATGTGGTACCATAATATGGTATACAGTGAATAATGCTTTCAAAATATAATATAAATAAATAGTCGTGGTATGAAAGGCTATGTTATCTTAAACAAAAAAGATAGTAGGCACTTTTTTCAGGTCGATACTTTGAAAGAGCCTCGAGGCAAAGTTGATGTTATTGTGACATTGAGAATGTTGTTTAATATTAAACTCATGAAAATTGTAATTTGATATCAATACAGTTTCAGGGAGACGATATTTATATTCTTCTTCTTGTCAATGTCCTTTTCCAAGTCAAACAGGGCGGCCCGACATAAATTCAAATTGTTAAGTTTCAAGTTCTGGCGTTTCGGTGACGTCAGTTCTTATTTAAGTTCTCGGGATTAGAAAATTATAAGTATTTGTTATAGGAGTGATTAAGATACAAAGGAAGTAAACAAGAGAAAAATGTATATATAGTACAGGGCGGTTGTATTTGCAACTAGATGTATGTAACAACTCTTATTTTCTTATTTCAAATTATTCTCATGAAATACTCTTATTTAGTGATGTTTATCCCGAGAGTCGATATGTCACGTATATATAGTGCACTAAATTCTAGTACTGATATTCCTTTTTATATTAGTCTTCCCCTTTTCACAGTTTTTATAACGACGTTTTCGAATACTCGTTAGATTATTAGAATTACTAACCTTCTGGGAAAGTTCTGCTATATCGATTTTCGTTTCTATATCCATCTTAGGTAGGAATACTTTGACTTTCTCTCGCCTAAGTGATTTAATACTATTAGATAATTCATCTGAACTTCGTAATTTATCTAACATCTGGAGAAGGCCATCTTTTTTCTTTGGTAACAAGATTACTAAACTAGAATTGCCGCCTTTGTAGAACAATTCTAAGATCTGAAACGGGATAGTAATATTTTTATTAAGATGGAACAAGTATATTCATTAATTTATAATTTTTTTCCCCACTTTGCTGTATACGTATAACTGTTTAACAAAGCTATAAATAATTTATATTGCCAGCGAAGTTATTAATGTTTTTATTTTATTTTTATTGCTTTTTTTTTAAGTTTCTTTAAGTTTAAGATTTAAGTTTATTTTTAAGTTTCTTCTTCTTCTTTCAAGTTCGCACAGGTTCTCAAATCTGCGTTAACTTGCGTTCGACTTGTTTCGCAACGATGCGTGAGAGAATTAGATTTTATGCCAATTTTGTTTTTTTTTTGAGCAACATTCCTTGAGCAATTTTTTCACAAAGTAACTTAGGGAACTTGTTGCTGACCCATACCTGTGCATCAAGAATCTCATTATCTCCATAATTAAAGGTGTTTTCTTGATACATAGTCTTTATGGACTTAGTTTTGTTTGGTGTGATGTAGAAGTCTCTGTCGCGAGTGTTATTAGGATTGAACTGATTTTGCCAATTTCCCTGAAAAATGTTGTACATAGTTAATTAAAAAGGTGATGTAAAAGATGTATTGACTACAATGTTAGCGGCTATGGCTTGATGGGCGTAGCTATTAAGGTCTACCTAGTCGTGACTGACTGAAAATTATTCAGTGCAAATAAGTAGCATCTCGATTGAAGTAAGACTTGTTATTTCTTCTTCTTCCTTGTCTTTATCACTCTTATCAGATGGTCGTGGTCATTACTTAAAATGTTGATGGCATGTTTCATAGCGAACTATAATCGCAGATGATGGGAGTTCTTCCCAGAATACGCGACTATACTTATACAATATGGCTACGTATGCCGTAGCTCCTGTCAGTAAATCTGTGTTCTCTTTTTGGTCTTCAATGTGTGGTTTGTAAACGAGGGACTGGGATTACATCAAACAATTCCTCGTGGCATTCTCCATATGATACAAATTACAGTGAGAGCTCACTACTTGAGGTTTGATAATAATAATAAAAAAATTAAATCTAAGAAAATAGTAACTCACCAGGAAATAAATGGCGTTAACTAGAACCAATCTAGTGTCATCGCTGAACAAATCTTCGCTGACAAGATTTTGAATTAAGTTATTGGTTTTGTTTGCGACCTGGAAATGTGTTATAAAAAGTATATTAATTAACAAAATATCGTAAACTGCTTAATAGTGAAAAATCTTGGTAATAACTCTTTAAATAATAGTGTGTTTAAAGTAAATAAAAAAAAAACAGCACATTATTTATAATAGACAACTTCAGTAAAAAAATCTATAGTACAATACAATTTCACGTTAAATAGTGCATGTGTTCGTAATTCCACTCGCATTAAATGGGATCTAATATCTGTTTCCTATGATCACAGCGATATAATGTATATTTTATTTATGAGAACTATCAATATGACAATTGTCGACTATCATAAAATTTATCAATAGCTCCCATAACGAAATTTAAATTTAACAAGATTTACCCATCCGTTTATTGTGTCTGCAGCTTCTTTCGCATATTTAAAATCAATATTTTCTCCTTCTGAGTCAAAATAAGTTACAGCGTCGTTCTTAAACTGGTCCGTAAAAGGATAATTTATGTTGCCGTAGCATTTAACTGCCACCGTCAAAAGAACTGAGGTTTGAGACCGATAATTCTTAAGCAAAGCGGGGAAAGCTTCCTTGATCTGCGAAAAAATTATTTGGTATTGATAAATTACGTTATTATTACTAGGCTTCGAGTTCTCGGTATTAATTATATATTAAAAGTAAGCGAGTCATCGTATTCCCATTTTGCGGAAGCTCTTCTGCCGATGCTACAATTTGTTGATTGAGAATGATAGTACCTGCCTTTACGAGCTCATACTAGGGTGTGCATTATCTAAAAATACCTACATTTTCAATAATTGCAACCAAAATTGTGAAGATATTCACGCATTAGGGCCCTTGACTTAGAAGACGTCCGTAAAAACTACTAATCAGCTTCGTAAAAAAACAAATAAATTTAATGCAAAATGTTTTGAACAATATGCAATGTACTTTGTACCTGATCCTTATTGTCGAGGTTTATAAACTTTAATAGTTGATCTAAAGTTTCTCCAACGGCGTATAGCGCTAGTTGACCGTAAGGAATGAGTACAGATACGGGTGATGTAACGAAACTTTGTCCTGGATCCATTTTGTATAATTCCTAGAAGAAAAAATATGAACATCAAAGACAGTATACCAACATTTTTTACCTTTTCAATATGTTTCAAATGTAATAAAAATTACATTATATGTAGTATAGTAGTATATGAGAGTATAGTAGATATTAATATTTTAAATAAATAGGTTTTAAGAGTGCCTGCAAAATTTAAGAATTTAAATAAAGAAATATTATTTGGTTTAAGCGACATTTTATCTGTTTTTTTTTCTTTCTTTCAAAACTAGTCTGATTTTTTTTTTTTTTTTTTTTTTTTTTTTTTTTTTTTTTTTTTTTTTTTTTTTTTTTTTTTGTTTTTTTTTTGNCTTTGAAAGGGCCTCGAGGCAAAGTTGATATTACTATGACATTGAAAATGTTGTTTAACGTTAAACTCATGAAAATTGTAATTTGATATCAATACAGTTTCAAGGAGACGATATTATTTTTCTTCTTGTCTATGTCATTGTCCAAGTCAATTGGAGCGGCCCAACATAAATTCAAATTGTTAAGTTTCAAATTCTGGCGTTTCGGTGACGTCAGTTCTTATTTAAGTTCTCGAGATTAGCAAATTATAAACATAGATTATAGGAGTGATTAAGATACAAAGGAAGTAAACAAGAGAAAAATGTATATTATTATATAGTACAGGGCGGTAGTATTTGCAGCTAGATGTATGTAACAACTCTTATTTTCTTATTTCAAATTATTCTCATGAAATACTCTTATTTAGTGATATTTATCCCGTGAGTTGATATGTCACGTATATATAGTGCACTAAATTCTAGTACTGATATTCCTTTTTACATTAGTCTTCCCCTTCTCACAGTTTTTACAACGAAATTTTCGAATACTCTTTAGATTATTAGAATTACTAACCTTCTGGGAAAGTTCTGCTATATCGATTTTCGTTTCTATATCCATCTTAGGTAGGAATACTTTGACTTTCTCTCGCCTAAGTGATTTAATGCTATTAGATAATTCATCTGAATTTCGTAATTTATCTAACATCTGGAGAAGGCCATCTTTTTTCTTTGGTAACAAGATTACTAAACTAGAATTGCCGCCTTTGTAGAACAATTCTAAGATCTGAAACGGGATAGTAATATTTTTATTAAGATGGAACAAGTATATTCATTAATTTATAATTTTTTTCCCCACTTGGCTGTATACGTATAACTGTTTAACAAAGCTATAAATAATTTATATTGCCAGCGAAGTCATTAATGTTTTTATTTTATTTTTATTGCTTTTTTTTAAGTTTCTTTAAGTTTAAGTTTTAAGTTTATTTTTAAGTTTCTTCTTCTTCTTTCAAGCTCGCACTTTTACACAAAACTAGATTTACACACACACAAAATTTAATTTTTTGCCAATTTTGTTTTTACTATATCTCCAAATTATTTTTTTGAGGAACATTCCTTGAGCAATTTTTTCACAAAGGAACTTAGAGAACTTGTTGCTAACCCATACCTGTGCATCAAGAATCTCGTTTTCTCCATAATTAAAGGTGTTTTCTTGATACATAGTCTTTACGGACTTAGTTTTGTTTGGTGTGATGTAGAAGTCTCTGTCGCGAGTGTTATTAGGATTGAACTGATTTTGCCAATTTCCCTAAAAATTTTTGTACATAGTTAATTAAAAAGAATATGTAAAAGATGTATTAACTATAATGTTAGCGGTTATGGCTTGATGGGCGTAGCTATTAAGGTCTATCTGGTCGTAAATAAGTAGCATCTCGATTGAAGTAAGACTTGTTATTTCTTCTTCTTCCTTGTCTTTATCACTCTTAACAGATGGTCGTGGTCATTACTTTAAATGTTGATGGCAGGCTTCATAGCGAACTATAAACGCAGATGATGGGAGCTCTTCTCAGAATACGCGGCTATACTTATACAATATGGTTAACTATTCCGTAGCTCCTGTCAGTAAATCTGTGTTCTCTTTTTGGTCTTCAATGTGTGGTTTGTAAACGAGGGACTGGGATCACATCAAACAATTCCTCGTGGCATTCTCCATATGATACAAATTACAGTGAGAGCGCACTACTTGAGGTTTGATAATAATAATAAAAAAATTAAATCTAAGAAAATAGTAACTCACAAGGAAATAAATGGCGTTAACTAGAACCAATCTAGTGTCATCGCTGAACAAATCTTCGCTGACAAGATTTTGAATTAAGTTATTGGTTTTGTTTGCGACCTGAAATGTGTTATAAAGAGTATGTTAATTAACGAAATATCGTAAACTCCTTAATAGTGAAAATCTTGGTAATAACTCTTTAAATAATAGTGTGTTTAAAGTAAATAAAAAAAAAACAGCACATTATTTATAATAGACAACTTCAGTAAAAAAATCTATAGTACAATACAATTTCACGTTAAATAGTGCATGTGTTCGTAATTCCACTCGCATTAAATGGGATCTAATATCTGTTTCCTGTGATCACAGCGATATAATGTATATTTTATTTATGAGAACTATCAATATGACAATTGCCGACTATCATAAAATTAATCAATAGCTCCCATAACGAAATTTAAATTTAACAAGAATTACCCATCCGTTTATTGTGTCTGCTGCTTGTTTCGCATATTTAAAATCAATATTTTCTCCTTCTGAGTCAAAATAAGTTACAGCGTCGTTCTTAAACTGGTCCGTAAAAGGATAATTTATGTTGCCGTAGCATTTAACTGCCACCGTCAAAAGAACTGAGGTTTGAGACCGATAATTCTTAAGCAAAGCGGGGAAAGCTTCCTTGATCTGCGAAAAAATTATTTGGTATTGATAAATTACGTTATTATTATTAGGCTTCGAGTTCTCGGTATTAATTATATATTAAAAGTAAGCGAGTCATCGNTGTTTCGCATATTTAAAATCAATATTTTCTCCTTCTGAGTCAAAATAAGTTACAGCGTCGTTCTTAAACTGGTCCGTAAAAGGATAATTTATGTTGCCGTAGCATTTAACTGCCACCGTCAAAAGAACTGAGGTTTGAGACCGATAATTCTTAAGCAAAGCGGGGAAAGCTTCCTTGATCTGCGAAAAAATTATTTGGTATTGATAAATTACGTTATTATTATTAGGCTTCGAGTTCTCGGTATTAATTATATATTAAAAGTAAGCGAGTCATCGTATTCCCATTTTGCGGAAGCTCTTCTGCCGATGTCACAAATTGTTGATTGAAAATGATAGTACCTGCCTTTACGAGCTCATACTAGGGTGTGCATTATCTAAAAATACCTATATATTCAATAATTGCAACCAAAATTGTGAAGATATTCACGCATTAGGGCCCTTGACTTAGAAGACGTCCGTAAAAACTACTAATCAGCTTCGTAGAAAAACAAATAAATTTAATGCAAAATGTTTTGAACAATATGCAATGTACTTTGTACCTGATCCTTATTGTCGAGGTTTATAAACTTTAATAGTTGATCTAAAGTTTCTCCAACGGCGTATAGCGCTAGTTGACCGTAAGGAATGAGTACAGATACGGGTGACGTAACGAAACTTTGTCCTGGATCCATTTTGTATAATTCCTAGAAGAAAAAATATTAATATCAAAGACAGTATACCAACATTTTTTACCTTTTCAATATGTTTCAAATGTAATAAAAATTACATTATATGTAGTATAGTAGTATTTGAGAGTATAGTAGATATTAATATTTTAAATAAATAGCTTTTTAGAGTGCCTGCAAAATTTAAGAATTTAAATAAAGAAATATTATTTGATTTAAGCGAGATTTTATCTGGTTTTTTTTTCCTTTCTTTCAAAACTAGTCTGATTTTCTGTCAGTGGTCGCTAGTACCATCAGCAATGCCAGGGGCACCAATCACTTTTTGTCATTGAGGACTGTAAAAAATGTTTGTGTAAATGCACTGTAGATTAACATATTAGTTTCAGAAAATGTGGATGAACTGTACTCTATGCTCAGTTTCGGGGCCATTGCTTTGGTACCGTGAGTGCTAGCTTATTTGTCTAACTTCCAAAAATGATTTTTCCAGTAGCAACGTTTATGATTCCTTCCCTGACTATCAAGTCCGCTTCATTACATACAATACAGTTTTTATTAAATTAAGTAATATTACCCAAAGAAACTGGCCAACTAATGCCATGTTTCCTGTGCGGAGTTTTTCCAACGATTGGTCGACATTTCCTGGTGAATTGGTAGTAGCTGCAAACAAAATACACGTTTATTCAATTTAATCTTAAAATCGATTGAATAATTGAAAAAAAAGTTATTGCTTATAATTTTTTAGTGTACTATTTTCCAATTGGACATATTGTCCAAAAGTTGGACCGATAATCTGGTAAAGGACCTGATAATACGGTGGTCAGCGTAGGACCAAACTTGGCCAACCTTTGGAGAGGCCGTTGTCTAGTAGTGGATGTATCTGCGCTGATGACTACGTCAATGATATTATAATTTAAACTCAACACATCAATGTATCATGGGGATCCAGTCTCGTAAGATTTTATTCTTGCTATTTTTGTACTAGTATCATTGATCAACTCCAAAAGGAACTTTGTATAAATAAATGTGTCAAAAAAATCATAGTGTCGAATCGATTCAATCGAAATTAATTACCTTGGAAAGGTAATATTATTCCTAATTACACTTTTTTATACTAGAAGAAGAAGAATACTAGAGAAGAACATTGCTTAAACTAGATGAACGAACCACTGCCTCCCACGATTGCTATAGGAGACGGTACACGACATAAGGTCGAAACTAATTTTTTGTGGCTGTCCAACCCGTCTTACTGGAACGCTTGACTAGTTCGCTCTAGAATAAGTTAGGATAGTTTTATCTACCCGTACTGTATCTCACAAGAAGTCCTAATTACACATGTTATCACTACCTTGTTATTAATTGGCGACAGGATCTCTTGTGAGTCCGCGCGGGTGGGTACCACCGCCCTGCCTATATCTGCCGTGAAGCACTAATGCGTTTCGGTTTGAAGGGTGGGGCAGCCGTTGTAACTATACTGGAGACTAGAACTTATATCTCTAAGGTGGGTGGCGCATTTACGTTGTAGATATGGGCTCCAGTAACAACTTAACACCAGGTGGGCTGTGAGCTCGTCCACCCATCTAAGCAATAAAAAATCTATAAATAAAATTAATAACAGTTTATTTCACTCACGACATCGATCTGGTAGAACACATTTCGATGAAGTCGAATCATAATAATATCCTTGTTTACAATCACAACCGTTTATAGCACATATATCTTCCTCGCAGACGTCAGGGTCCTTGCCAACATCTGAACAACGCCTGTTACAATTTATCCCACAACCAGCTTCGGCATTCGGATCACCGCCACATGATGCTGTAATTTATAAGTAAGGCTTTTTATTTACGAAAACAACGCAGCTGTTCCTTCCTACTGGTGGTAGGACCTCTTGTGAGTCCGCGCGGGTAGGTACCACCGCCCTGCCTATTTCTGCCGTGAAACAGTAATGCGTTTCGGTTTGAAGGGTGGGGCAGCCGTTGTAACTATACTGAGATCTTAGAACTTATATCTCAAGTTGGGTGGCGCATTTACGTTTTAGATGTCTATGGACCCCAGTAACCACTTAACACCAGGTGGGCTGTGAGCTAGTCCACCCATCTAAGCAATAAAAAAAATTGCTATGTTATAAAATTCTATTTTAAGTTTAATAATTATGATTCAATTTACAGTCAGAAAGAGAAAATACGTTTAATCAAACATCTCCGATTAGTTCCAAGCCATTATAAATTTGATTAAGACGAACTTATATTTTTTACACTCCCAGCTAGACGAGTTCGACGTGTACCATAAGTAATTACCGCACCCCTCAGATATTGTTGAAGTCTCAATTTTATTATATAACTGCTGTCCAACCAATTCCTTCCCTTAATCTGGAACATATAACTGAATCATGACCGAAATAGACAGGATGATAAATAGCTCCTTTCGAGCCCACAATACGCTTTACCATCATTAAATATTAGATGACAAGTCTGTCCAGCTGTACACAGACGATATCAAAGATCCTTAATCAATTAAAACATCCCTATCATTCGCATTCATGTCTCTTCATAACTCAAAATGATCTAGTGCTACGGCAGTTTGTCCACACGACTTGGTAATGTCGTCTTATTTCAGAGGAGAAACAATTTGTTTAATTGCCACTATGGATGGTCGAGCTCTTGGCCCACCTTGGCACACCCATAAGTGGTCACCGGATCCTATAGACATCAACCGCGTAAATGCCGCCATCCATCCTGACACATGAGTTCTAAATCTCAGTTTTTACAGTACAACGGTCGTCTGATATTTCAAACCGAAACGCATTACTGCTTCACGGCGGAAATAGGCAGGGTGGAGGTACTGACGTGTGGGGATTCGTAAGACGCCCTATCACCCGTAAAAGTCATTAGTCATTATTCCGATGAAATTGCGGTTTTGTGTCTTAAGGTGAATGGCATTTCAAATTCAATTTCATATTTTAAGCCATATTATTATTTACTTACGACATTCTCGCTCACGACTCGGTCGTGCGCGGACGTGCTTTCCGATCCGTGGCCCGCTTGCGAGCTGCGTCTCTGAACTCACAGCTGTGCTCGACAGTTTAGTGACCGTGAATACATTCTCGTTTACGACTCGGTTGTGTGTGAACGTGCCTTCCAATCCGTTGGTCGCTTGCGACCTACGCATCGGAATACACATTTG